AGGAAAATATGTTAAATGAACCTAATCATGATCGGAAACCTGATGTGGTTTGGATAGATGCTGATTTTTCTAACGATCCTACGCTCTGCAATGACAGTCCTGATGAATTTCATGAGAATATTTCAGAAGAATCAAATCCTGATGTCATATCATATATTACCTATCCTCATAATGTATTTGATCCTTGTGAAAAACCTGCCCAATGCGAAGCACGAGTACTAAGTGACCTCGAGTTTTATTACATTTTGGATGATTTCATATCAACTGCTGTTTACTCTTATCACAAAAACAGTTCTAATGTTTACTCTAAACAATGTGAGATATATGTTTTAAATGAAGCCACATTATTCATAACTTGGGAGTATAAAGATCCAACATTATTTCGTGGGGGGGGGATAGTGTTGAAAAATCTATGGTTCGAATTCTAGATATTAATGATTTCATTACAAAACCGACATGCTGGTTGTATACAATTCCAGATACTACAAAGTTTTTATCTTATACAATGTCGGACAGACTCAGGATGAACTTAACAAGAAGACGTACAACCGATTACAAACACTTATACTTCTATTTAAGCTGTGGCGGATGTGGTGTTTGAATTAACTAATGATTCTTTTGTACTTGTTGAATGCTCGATTTCGAATTCTAAATACAGTACATTCGTTGTGCCTGTGTCTTCTTAATTCAATTGCGTTAATCCTGGAATTCCTAATTCATACTATAATTAGAATACTATATCACGACTGACCAATAAAAGTGAAGAACTGAAACTTTTGATCATAATCTTCTTTCCCGACAAACTGGAGATTTACTTTTATAGTCGAGGAATACTTTACTTACTTACTTACGCCTGTTACTCCCAATGGAGCATAGGCCGCCGACCAGCATTCTCCAACCCACTCTGTCCTGGGCCTTCTTTTCTAGTTCCATCCAATTCTTGTTCATTTTTCTCATGTCTATCTCCATTTCTCGGCGTAATGTGTTATTTGGTCTTCCTCTTTTCCTTTGACCTTCAGGATTCCATGTGAGGGCTTGTCTTGTGACACAGTTGGGTGCTTACCTCAATGTGTGTCCTATCCACTTCCGGCGCTTCTTCCTGATTTCTTCCTCCACTGGGATCTGGTTTGTTCTCTCCCACAGTACGTTGTTGCTAATAGTGTCCGGCCAACGGATCTGAAGTATTTTGCGTAGACAATTGTTAATAAACACCTGTATTTTCTGGATGATGGCTTTCGTAGTTCTCCAGGTTTCTGCCCCATACAGTAGAACTGTCTTGACATTTGTATTGAAAATCCTGACCTTGGTGTTGGTTGACAGTTGCTTTGAGTTCCAGAATAGTCGAGGAATATGCCAACCAAATTAGTTCTTGTAACAGAATGAATTATTTGAAAATCTCACCAGTGTCTTATCTTGCAATTTTCATATTTCTTGAGTTACACCCTTCGTTTGTGTGTTAACTTTTATTTAGGACTTGTGTCATATTTCTTAGTCTTTATTAAATAAATGGATGGACATGAAGGGTAACTTTATTGAAGTAAAGTATATATCTGGTATTTACAAAAACATGTAATGACAAATACCTGTGGTGGACCAGACAATATATAAAAGCAAAAGATATCAACAAGGTTAATAACAACCAATAGTAATATTAATATATACAAGTTAAATGTTACAAATACAATAAAAATGGGACTTTACTTAAGTTCACCCAAAATGATGCGTGTTCGGCTTCGATCTGGTACAATAAACCCACAATTATAGATGGTTAGTAATTCCAAACGTATCGATGATCTCCCCAGTAGTGTAATCCAAAGTAAGATATGATGTATTCACTTTCTCAGTCTATGAATGTAAATAATATTTGTTTTAGAACTAAGTTAACTCAATCTCGAATGAAAACAGAAGGAGGGATGTGTGAGTAATAATGTATTTGTTAGCCAGAAAGAATATGTCACGCTATGTTGTAATCACAACGGAAAGTGTCTTCAAGGTCATTGACTAAAACAACACGTACAGTCATTTAATGATGAATGTACATACATTGAAAAATTGACAAAACAAATACAAATAACATTGAAAACTATTTACAAAATAAGCTTGTCAGTCATATCTCCACATACCTATACTCATGTGGCTCAATTTACGAATAAGCTATCACAAGCGAATTACGTCTCACGATAAAAATCAGCCTGACAATTTATTGGTAATTCTAATGAAATATTTTAAACTCTGTTTGGGGAAATTTTGAGTATATTAACGATATCGATATTACTGAAACACGATCGCTTATACTAAAATGGAAGAAATGTCCTTGGGATACTCACTTCGGTTATATAACCAATCTAAGATCATTATTCTAAAAAACAAGCTGACGTACAGCTTCACTGGATTTGTCTCTAAATTTGTTTGTACGTGAAGTGTGCAAGATACTAAATTATTTGACATTTATAATCTTAACAAAAGTGTACCATATGTTTACTTTTAGATAACAGTAAATAATGACTCATGATGAGCAGCTTCCTGACAAACGACATTGATGTTGACACGAGAAGACAATATAAGCTGATTTCGGTTAGTCAAGTATTATGGACAGGACCTGGCACGGAAAATATGCAACGCTATTCCTCTCAGCCATTTCAACCTTCTTTCTAGTTTACATTCAGAATAGACTAACTTATTTGCGACCTAGCGTTATACGATACTGTCTCATACAGAGTATGTTTGTTGTGATTGAATGAACTAACGATTCCTTTGTACTTGTTGAATGCTTGATTTCGAATCCCCAATACATTGCATTCGTTCGTGCTTACCTAGTAATTCCTGATCCAATTGCGTTCTTTTTGGATTCTTAATTAGTACTATAATTCAAATACTCCTAATTATCACAATGTTACATATTAATAGCCGCTACAATTATATAAACTTGAGTTTCTCACATTTTAGAAAACATTTATTCGAAAATACACAGATATACACATTGCATCATGTTCTGTACACATTGTAGTGGGAAAAGTTATTTTTTTTTTATCGATCTATGAGATTCCTGTCTTATGAACATTGTAAATTATATTTAGCACAAAAAGACATTTGAAAAAACTGTGACAGAAAGTGATGTGTTCAGAGCATATCAAAAATGTATCAGTTTGGTTATTACTTTAATTAGTCCTAATCGTACTAGAAAAACAAAATATTAAATGAGTGAGCTCTTTGTGACCATCATGGTAAGGAAAACAATTTGCGTAAGATCTTAGTACATCCATTTGAATATCATAATTATTCCTTATAACCGCCTTGTACATTGTTTTATTTTAATAATCAAATGTGTGGATAATTTTTATGAAAAAGTAACTTTATATTTTTCCTTTGCATTTACTTCCTACATTACTAATGACAGTTAATGAATAAACAATAAATAAAGAAATAGAAAACTATGTTTGTTAAGAAGTATATTTATTTAATAATCAAAGAGAACAATATAACACCATAAGTGTTAAAAGCTTTACATTAATAAAGTTATAACCGTATTTCTCAAAGAATGTAAAACCAATTTGAGATATCAATATTTTCTTTGGATACGCAAATGACTGCATGTCCTGGAGCAAAATGAGCAACAATTTAAATTCCTCGATATTTTGTGATCGTCAATCCACAAGGCAAGAAGAAAAGCTGTAGAATTCAACAAAAAAAACTGTATTCTTTAATTGGGATATTGCGTTTTAAAAATGTCTCAGATAAGGCTACATACTTTCACCATACCTTTAACACTATCGTGTAAAACTTACCTTTGGTTAAAAAAACTGTCAAAATTCGATACTAGCTCTAATATATACATTTCAAGTCAGTCAAAATCATCATAACAAGGTCTTTTTGTTAACCTTTATATTAAAGTACACGGAGAAACCATCTCAGTCACATGACCTTTCACAGTGTGGGAACCAAGTTTTGAAAAAATACGAGTAACTGTTTTCAGTTCCTTTTCTTGACATGGACAAGTTTTGTCTACTGCCTTGCTATTCAATTTTTCCCGTCCCCGGGTTATTAAGGCTTAAACATCAAGAACAGATTCGGAAGAAAACTTAAATCATAACAATAAAGCCAAAAATACGTTTAAATAAATGTATGTTCTTTTTACTTTATGGTGTTTTTAAGTAATTACATTTATCTTGTACTCTAATGAAATTATAATTTTTAAGATATTTTCCGACCGAAAACATTGAAAGTTATTGTGTTATATAATTGAACATCATTTTTAACCGATTTTGAACTACTCACCTACTAGGCTTGCGGATCCACATATAGTAAATTGAACAATGTATAGGTTCTCTGAACTGATAAATGTGAGGACAAAGGCACACAAAGGACATCCTATAGCCTACGTAGAATAACAAAGGATAAACACACATATTATCGATTTCCATATGAATGTTCATAGTTTCCGGTAAATAATTTAGGTTTAAGTAACAAATATGATTGATGACCATAAGGATTATTTAGAAATTTTTTAATCATGTTTATCTGATATCCAAAGCAATTAATTGATTATGTATCGCATTTCAAATTGTTGATTGAAATGATAATATTTCAGATAAAAATTACTTGACTACTTAATTAATTTTATTATCTTTCAGTTTATGACAAGACTGTGTAAGTGAAAGGAAATTTGGTAAATAAAAATTTTCGTCTCAAGCCACTTCACAATCTGTAATACGTGAAACTAAATCATTTAGTTATTTTTTGAAAACACCTTGGAATAAACACAAAGTCATCTGAACTTAAGCTGACATCGTTTTCTTGTGAATATTGAACCAAAAGAATGGTAAAATGACTTGTAATAAGTTAATTTGAACTGTATAACTAAATAACAGTATGCTATGCACAAAAATTTTATTTATTTGCAAAAATCAGTGTGTGGAAGATTTAGAACACGCAGAGTAAAATGGGTTGATTTTATATCAAAATCTTTCTTGTACATGATTTACAAGTATACCAAGGGAAATAAATACATCAAACACAGTAGTCATAAAACTCATTATGCTTAAAAGGTAAGAATGGTGGCTACAACTCGTCAAATTATCTGCTTCAAACCAACAGATTTACATATTATCCACGTTGTACAAGTTCGAGGATAAGCAGTTTCACATACAATGAACATTTATCCATAGTAAGCAGTAGAATGATTTAAACTAGCGCGACTACATCGAGAAATCATCGGCTTCTCAGCCATCGGAAGTCATGGATCTTGCTTGGGGTAATTCACTTTAGTGGGAAGCAAACAAGAAACCGTGTAAATAAATAAGATTTGGGACATAAGAAGTGGCAAAGAAATTATTTTCAAATGATAAAAATAATTGAAAGTGTGAGTAGGTTAAGATCCCCTAATATTATACTTTCATCACCTAGCGTACTATTCTGTTAAATTTCTAAAATGAAAAGAAATACAACTTTTATCTGTAATGAAAACTACCGTTATGACTAAAAATGGTTTAAATGAAGTCATTAACATAATTTGAAGACATGATTCTTATCCGAGTCGTGGAATGAAAAAATTTATCATCGATAAACCGATAAGGATTTTCATAGAGTGAATGCTTTTAGTTCTCTAATTATGCTATTTGGAACAAGTTATAGAACATATAAGCTGTTTAACAGGTGCATCTCATTACTAAACTTTGTTTAAATTGATGGCATTTATCTAAATTTGCGTTAATAAAATGAATAGTTAGTTCTGAAACCATCTGAAGAACTGACAGAATAAAAATGCGGAGGTCAGTGGAAGTTTACAGTGCTCATGGATTCGAATTGGTACTTTTGTGATACTGATGTAATGTTTCCAAGACATTACTTTTTAATTTTATTGAAATCGCGAACAGATCTAAGGTGGACGACCGTCAAAGACGCGGTGGCATTACACTGTAACTAATGGAGTTCAACTGTGTCGGGTATGAGGACGTTACTTACCGATAGTGGAAGATGGTTGCACACTTGGCTTGGTTTCAGTCGGACTTATATATCAATGAAAATCGACTTAGCAATCTAGAAGTTAAGCATAATAACGCAAAAATTGAAGGTCTTGGAATCGATTCCCTGTTGTGCGGTTGTTGGTGAGAATTGTCAAGGAGCTCCGAATTAGAACTGGTGCTTCCAAATTTTTAATGGTTGTCTTACTTAGCTCGATCTTTGATCTCACTAAAGTTCGAAAATCTTCAAAAACCCCCAACTAAAAATAACTTCTAAATAGGACTTATTTTTATATCAATCAGTAGTAATAAATCTTTAGTAGAATTCGAGTAATAAATTTGATTTTCATCTACCTTGACTTTTCATCATTTAGTAGACAAATTTGTGTTTTCATTAAGAAGTGAGAGGATTGTCTGCATAGCTCCTGATCTGCATTAAGACTACAAGACTTGAATTAGCTGTTATTCGAAAACATCTAGCGTTTCAATTATGAGCATGGTAAATACAAAACAATATCGATATTTATCAACATGAAATAGGTAAACGTACTCGTGCACATGCTATTATCCCGTAGTTAATAGCCATGTTTGTGCATCCGAACATCGACCCTATGGCTGCTGGAGCCACTGTTGATACACTGCTTAAAAAAAGAAAACCTCCAATACCCCAAATACAATAAAGCATTTTCGCCGTCAATCCATCCGTCAGACTGATGTAAGGAAACGTCAAAAGAAGGATGGCCCAAATCAGGCTTATTATACAAAACGGAATCTACGACATGAAAAAAGTGAGATTCTACATTTCGATTAAATACATGTCAACAATAATTATCCATATAAATAATTTCTGAAAAAATAGTGGATTTCTTTGAATTAAATGTGAATATTTAATTTTCGCTCCAATCTGTGTAATATTATACTCTAAATTCTTAGAAGTTGTAAACCCCCATAGTTTATTAAATACATACAGTTTTTTATTACTTCTGATTTTCGTGAAAATCAAACTTTGTGGTTGATTTTTACTAGCGACATCAGCCATTTACGAATAATGACTAACACTCTCATAGTACAACTGGTAGTGCAAATGCATAAAAGTTAATGAAAACTGGTAATCACAACCATATGTACAAGACATTACTGTTGTTTCTGACCGATAAAGTTTACACTGATATTTCCGATTCATTAAAATGCATACTAATTTAAAATGAAATATGTCATTACATTGATGAATAAAGATTTTCTACATCTAGAATTACAAAATATGGTTGATAACTAAAAATCTGTGCAGAATACGCCTAAAGTTTTATCTACTGATTAAAACAATCATTAAAACCCATTTGAGAAATTAAAAAAAACTAGGTATTACATCTGCTACTTCATTGATAAAATGACTTTCAACTTAAACGTGTTTGTATATATTATGCCATCAAACACCAGGAATTTCGAAGTACACGTTTACTCTTATTCTTGTTCTGATTAACAAGTTTATGTAATATATTATTTTTAATGTATTCATCTGTTTTAATACAGAGGAACCACTGAAATTCATTCCAGGTGTATAATTAGACGGCACTTTCAGTGAATAAATAAGTTACTAGAACTATCTTTCACCATAAAAAAGGTTACAGGTTTTTTTCCATTCATTGAGCAATCATATTGTACAAACGTCGACGTAACTACGGTTTAAATAGGGTAGGCATGAATAAATTTAATTTATGTATTAAAAGCTCCAAACTGAAATTTCAATAGAATGAAAGTATCCATAGAGTTTAACATACTATATCTGATCAACATTGATTTTTTGTATATTATAGTTAGAATTCTGTTATGCCCCGATAAGCATAATGAATGGTAACTTTTGGGATCCATTTATGGACGAGTACTATGCGCATATTTTTATCGTATAATTGTCAAATAATTAAACTGTTCATATCCGTTTTTCTTATATTATTTTACGATTTACCATTCTTGAATTATGCCGTCTATTAATTATCACCTCCCACACTCACAGCCACTTTTGGCTGTTATGTTATTTTCCATTTTATGGTACCATGTGGTCTGTCTGGTTGGTATATGAACCCAGTATGCTCGAAATAAACGATTCATATCACAGAGGCTGAGATTGGTGTTCTGGACTTAACTGGCTGGGCTAGACAGGAAGCAGGACCGATAAGTATTCTAGACTGATCATACGGGTTTACGCGTCATTGGTCCGATCGATAAGTCACTGCTCTCTAATTGGAGGTAGCATTACGTTATACATAAACAGGGGACACAGACCACAAGTTATAACAAACTCACTACTGTACCGAATGAACAGTAGTAAATAAAACGTCAATCATAGTTATCAGTCCGAGAGCTGGAGAGGATCATTTATATTGTATTTCTCAGCTACTAGGGTGATCTGATTACTCTGTACGTATTAGTTTTAGCTCGACAACAGAAGTGTGTTAAAATGTGTCACTGGACTTATCTTTTGTTCTTAAAAAAACAGAAGTGAACACCACAATGTGCATTAAGTATATGCCAATGTGAATTGTAATAAATTTCTTGAAAACGTGATTGGTTTCGTAGAAAGGAAGATCTTAGGTTGTCAAAATAAAAGTGACATGTTTGGTTAGATTTTCAAACTAATCTAACATTTTTTTTGTAGATTTGTGGATTTTTCTGGAAGTTTTTCATACGAGTTATGTGATAAATGTCTCACCTTGTATGAAAATCGATCCACAATTGATCCCCATATAATACGGCCACCGGCATTGAAAACTGCAGTCATTGTAACTATAATTGATAGGTACTTATCATCACTGATAAACGACTGACCAAATAACTGAAAACAATGTAAACAAATTTATTGAGTGGTACGAGATGTTGGTAAGTTAGAAATGTCAGTGAAAACAAAGAAATACCAAAGAATGGTATTTCCATCATAGTTTTTAAATTGACAAAATTTGAAGAATGCATTTCGATAACTAATAATCTTAAGGTTGAAAAATCTTTAACTTCATTTTGACGGGACATGAAATAAGTTTTTTAAGAACATTTTCATAAAAAATATTAGGATCACGTACAAAATATTTCGATGTTACGTAGATTTATGAAAAAGAGATTAGTCGTGTATCCCGTTATTAGGACTAAAGGTGTTTATAAGAACTTAAAAGTGCGTTTACATATGACGTTTATGATAAGTTTTCGAAGTGCTCGTTTGATAAAGAAATTTGCCTGTTCTGGTGTGGTACAACATGAAAAACTTGGAAAAAATACAACTTGGTAGCTAGTTTAGTACTTATATAAAACAGAAAAATGTCCCTTCATTTCTCAGCCAAGAATTTTTGTCCATAAAACCATTAAAATTAGTACAAAGTCCTGCTGCGTTACAAATTAGTAATTCGAAATCATTTAGCAGTTTACGAGTGATTAGATGTAATCATCATCATGAAAGAAGAAATGATACTGGACATTACTTTGTATAATAGTGGTAAAATAAAACAAAGAACGTTAGCGGTATTTTGATACCTCATAAAAAATATGTATAAATCTAGAGTTATCTGAATCGGTATTTTGAAGTAAAACGTTTTGAATTCTCGTAAACGTTTGGACGTAGAAGATAAGTAATTGAGTCAAACTGATTTCTGTAGAAAAGGCTAATAAAAGCTACGCTCATTTCCACAGATTGACTATACAATTTTCATCAGTAGTGTTGTATCTATCAAATCAAAAAACGTGTTGAACAAGAAGACTGCCGTTTCTTAGATTTTTCGACTCCAAATAAATGTTTATCTTTACCAAATCATTTTGATTTCACTGTACCACTATCATCATAATCAGAAAGAAATAAGGTTGTCTATCGAAATCCGTTAGTTATTATTATTTGGTAGCATATTAAAGGTAAAGTATGTTGACGCTGCTCTATATTTGATTTCCTTTTATATTTGCCATAAAATCAGCGATTTCTCAAACATGGATAGGTGTAACAAGATTCTCAAAATACGCACTACTTTTTCATGTAAAAATGAAAAGAAGATGAATTACAACTAAACATAGTCAAGTAAACATTTCCAATTAAACAAAGGTACAATACTTTCACTGATGAGTTTATTCATATCCTAATGGATTTAATATCTATAGTATCAATAATAAATTTTGGATGAAAATGCATGATCGAGAATTGCAAGAAGATTTTCTATTTTGATCACTAAAAAGTTGTACTGTTGGCGTTTTCAAAACTTTAAACATCCACAGAATATTAAAATCACTAATCCTGAACTTTTTCTACAACTGGTTGTCTAGAATTACTTATCCGTTATAATAAATTATAATATCTATATTCTAAAGTTCAGCATTAAGTTGATAATAAACCGTCCATTTTTCTCATTTCGATCTCTTTTGACATAATGCTCTGTTGCATTCTTCATATTAACTGTATGCAATCATATATATCATAGAAGTAATAGCCATATAGTCTACAGTTATCTCGCTCAGTCCGTTCTAACATTGGCGTTATCACGCTAATGTAGCAATACTAACTTAAAAATAACATTAACTCATTTGAAATCTGGAAATATTTCAACAGTCAAGTTATTTTCACGTTTATTTCTGTTCAGTTTCATGGAAATAGACGAAATTCAGCACTTAAATTTATGGTTTTAGGGCAGCTGAAGACAATTGTAAGATTAATTACTATTCAAAACTTGTTAAACAAGTGATGGGAAGACACTTGAATGAAATTGCTAATCAAAAAGTATTAATAGACAGACTATTATGTTCTTTAGTTATACTAGTCTACGTTCAGTATATTAAACATAATAATTAATTAAAGTGAAAATGAACTTACTTTATAGGAAGAAGTTAAAAGTGTAAGCGGCACGCTGTTACAAAGTTCGATCAACCATAAAAGGTAGAAGTCGATATGACGAAACAATTGACCAGGTTTTATGTCCACTGCACTTTAAAATAATATGTTAACAATATGGCTTATCATACAAGTATGAGATTTTAACTAACAATTAATAAAATAAACATGAAGAATTATTACCATTTTTATTTGATAGATAATTCATGATAACAGTAAATAGATATAGTTTGAATGACTTCTATGAAATAACGAAATCTGAAAACATGACAGTGAACAGATATTACTAATAAATAGACAGGATAAATAGACGCATACTTTACTGACTGCCGTTTCAATAATGGATGAAAAAAACTGAGAATATTATCATAATGCTCATGACGCTGTTAGAAGTAAATAATATTTTCGATGAACGCTGATAATAAGGTGATAAATTTATGTCCACTTATGTGTTTTTCACAAACAGTGAACTGCCGTATAACAACTATGAGATATTTACAACT